AGAAATATTAAGACACCTTACTAGTTTCTGCACATCTATATGAACTCAATGATCTCTTACCATCAGAGCAGAAGTTTTACTTAAAATAGACTAAGCTGAGGTAAAGGGGAATCTTTTGAACTTTTTATCTGAAATCTGAGCAAAGGCTACTTCAGAAATAATAAAATCTCTTTCTTTGTGACATGTGGAACAATTCATTTGCATAAATTGAGGACTATGCAGCATAAATCTTCCCCTGTTGAAAACAAGGATGGTGTGTCCTTTCTGTGATTTGATAATCAAAGACCACTGACTCAGTAGTTACATCTGTGAAAACTCAAAATCTGAGTCTAAATAGGAGTGCGAACATTGAATCTTAGACAGACTTTGTTTGCTAGATTATGAGTATACAACTCTTTTACCTGTAAGAGTCACACAGGTTATCATCAGTAGTTTGGGAACCTCAGATTTGAGCACTTCTCATCCCAAATCAGGGCATTCAATTTGGGAATTGTAATTGGTCCCACACATGGGACCACATGTGTAAGGTACAGCTTAGTTAGGTTGATCCATTAGATTCTCAGGTCCCGAAATTTGTTCTCTTATAGTCCCAGGTACTAGTTCTGGCTCAGGTACCTGTTTAATTATGTACACAGCTCATTTGATTATCTCTACTCTGTTTACTTTTTTGTTTTGTCTGTGCTTCACAGGTTAGACTACTTAGATAAGAGTAGAAAGTTTGAAGATCGGCTAAAAGAACTCAAGACTGAAATCCATGCTCTCAAACTGGAAGAGAAACATGCCGGGTTTCTTTCTCATTGGAACATAATCCTTGACTCTTTGGACCATTCATCAGAGAAGGCATACAAGGTTCCTATATAGTCAAGCATTTCTTTCTTACATTTGTAACAAATGCATACAAAAACCTCATTTTAGCACCATTTCAGGAGTCAACTAGAGATATCTTCCTGGGACTTGCAAGCTTGGTTTAAAAACAGTGACTTTTCTTTGTAATATGTCCCTGGATCTGTGGCCGAAATATTTAGGACTGTCATAATGATTCCAATGATTAAGACTGTGGACAATAAAAACTGACAAGTAGGAATGGATTTCACCTTTAACCAATGAAATTAAGTATTGAAGTTTACTTGACTACATTTATTAATATATTTTAAAAAGTTTAATAACTGCTGATGGTTTGTGTTAGAAAAAGTTTACTTTATTGAGCGATTAGCTCTTTTCTCAGGTTGAAGGAAGCAAACCATCTTAAAAACAAATTGGTCTTAGTCATATACAGATTAAAAAGATTTTACTAACTAGCCAAACTGGTTTGATCTAAAGTACTTCAACTGAGTACAATAGAAGTTGTTTTCCACCAGATTAAACTTTTTAAAATTTGTCTCTCTTATTCTGTATTAACCAATTGCAGCTTTTCAGGTTCAGCTGAAGGAGGATTTCTTAATCCCTGTATCTGATCTTTGAAGCAAGAAAGACCAGGCACTGAGCTTAACTGTGTATTTTAGCAGGAATATCAGTAAAGGGTCAAAACAAGGCAGAGCCTATTGCCCCATTCTTATTTTCTTTGTCCTTAGCCTTAAGCAAAATCCCCTGAGCTCTGAGAGATCTCCACAGGATGTTTTTCTTATTGTCACCACTAAACTATTTTCTGATTTAGAAATACTTTTTCTTCTGTATATTTTTATATCTCTAAGGTAATGTGGCTAAATGTAATGTGAGCACAACACAGGATAGTGAAGTAAATTGGCTAACATTTAAACGGCTCTCCCCAACAAATGGACTTTTATAACAAAATGTTTTAAAATGATTTCTAAATAGTACCAGATATATGCCCAGCCCTGAGAAATGGAGGTTTCTCTAGGCTAGGATTCTCCCATACTTGTCCTTTTACCTGTACTGCACAAATCCTTCTCCCAATTTCCTCTTCTTTTTGAAATACACAAATTTGGAGCTGGCGTTTGCATTGTCATGTTTTGAATGGCAGTTCTATCACCCAATCATCCCAACTTGTGAAATTAATCTTTTACATTTTTCTTATGCTGCCAAATCTTTAGGTAACTACTCTTTCAGGGAGAATGACTAATTGTACAGTTGTTTCTGTGGTTTATCTCTATGAAGCTGCTTTTAGAGATGCTTCAACCTGATCATTTTTTGAAGGTGACTCTCCAGAAGAAAAAAAACCACTTGAATGTAATAATAGGATTCTTGAATGTAATAATAGGATTCTTGAATTTAATAGTAGGATTTTTGTAAAATCCTGAGTTGATTTTATGTATTATCCAAGCCAATACAATATTCTTAATGTTATTCATGGACATTACATAATACATGCTCTACTTCTATCATTAAGACTTCTGAAAATAATAATTTGTGAATGTCACACTAAAGCACTTCAGTCCTTCATAAAGGGACTATTTCCAGGCCAAGAGAGTTAAATTGGATTCATGCTGGCTTTCAAAATATTTAGTGTTATCCTGAATTAACTTAAAACCTCAATTAATGGTTAATATACTTTTTTAAAGGCTCCTGTTTGGATGAAAACCCTTGAAGGAGACCTGTTTAATAATCTGCAACAGTCTTTTTCACCATCATGCCTGCTAAATGTGATTGAGAATACCATGCCCAGTGCAGCAACAGAAAACTCTTTTCCAACCCATCCCCTGGTTATCAATAACGTGGGAACAGGACACCAAAAGCACATTAAGGTAATCGGATTTGAATTCAATTTTCTATATTCATATCATACAATGTCCTAATTACCAGTTTTTTCCTTGGATTATGTGTCTATCTCAATGAAGTATTTATACAACAGTAGGTTCTCAAGATCTAAGTTAGCCCACTGATTTGAGCTTTTGTTCTAGAAGCCACATGGATGCTTTGGGATACTTGTGAGCTGGACACAAAGTGTAGTTATTCCTTGTTCCTTATCTTCCATGTGCCAGTGAATTTGGAGGTACCATTCAGCTCCTGGATCCAACTGACTGATCTACTCCCTGTCAGTCAGTCAATAGAGGTAGTCCTTGATTTACAACAGTTCATTTAGTGACCAAAGTTACAGCACTGAAAAAAGTGGCTTATGACCATTTTCCACACTTATGACCAAGCATCCCCATGCTCATGTAATTTACATTTGGATGCTTGGACAGCTAGTTCATATTTATGACGGTTGCAATATCCTGGGGTCATGTGATCACCTTTTGCGATCTTCTGACAAGCAAAGACAATTGGGAAGCCAGATTCACTTAATGACCATGTTACTGACTTAACTTTAGTGATTCACCTAACAAATGTGGCAGGAAAAGTCGTAAAATGGAGCAAAACTCACTTAACAAATTTCTCACTTAACAACATAAACTTTGGGCTCAGTCGTGGTCATTAAGTTGAGGACTACCTGTACTGACTTACCAATACTGTCAAAACAAGTATTAAAGGGGGAAAGGAAAATGCTGAGTCAATATGATAGTCCTGTGATCAGAATTTTTAAGTTCCGTGTAATGTCAGACTTTCTTCTTCTTTCTTCGCAACTCATTTTTGAAATGCTATTTTTGCCAAATGAAGCGATTTCAAAGCTACCACATTTTTTAAGTTGGCCCAATATAAATTTTTAACCTGATAAATGGAGTTATCTTCTATCTCTGTGAGCTATTGGATGAGGGGAGAGTACAGCATTCCATGAAGGGAAAGAGAGGAGGAGAGGGAGAAAGAAAGAATGCCTTTTTCAAATACCAATCACATCTGTTGTATATGAACATTTTTATTGATCCATTATACAACTGTTTAGAAATGATTTCTTCACTTCTTGGCTGTAGGAAATGGTGAAAGATTCCTTTTTATTCCTGTTCCAATATCAATTTTGGACTGCTTCTTTATATAGACTGATGCCTTTTTTTTAGCAGCATATCATCTTTTATTCTGTACTTTTAATATGTTTCAACAGTGCTTTTTTTGTATATAAAAAAAAAGGTGCCGGAACTCACACACGTCATACAACCCGCCTTGCCTACCCTACAAGGTTCCATCCAAAAAAGGTGTGGGAACTCCGTTCTGGGCGTTCTATGACAAAAAAGCCCTGTGTTTCAACCCCTCTGTTCCAGTTATGTAGTCTATTTGTCTTAAACCCAAATCATCTTTCTTATACTTTCTTTATGGCTTCTTAGGTGCAACAACACAAAACAGATGTGATCTATATCTGAAGCACTTTAAACAGAATGATCAGTTATCCAACTCAAGTTATCCATCCAAAGATTTCTAGACTACTTTCATATTCTGGAAAAAATGCAGCTCCTGCTTGAAGCATAAGAATGGAAACATTCCTTTTTGATTCCTAGGAAGTGGTGCTCATATTCTGATATAGAAATAGGCAATACTAGCCAACCAGAGATCTAAGTCTGCAAGTCTAATACACCTTGCTATATTTAATATATTGTCTTGAAAGTAATTGAACATTTCTATTGGGTTACCTGAAGATTTGTCATGCCAATGTAAGTTTGTAAGAAGAATCTTAAGAAATTCAAACAGATCTAGTCTGTTCCCAAAATTAGCAATTCTATTAAGTTACTTGGGAGTTAAGAACTGAGTTGTATATTCATTTAAGAATGATAAACAAGTTGATGTTAAATTTCATTAAAAGCAATGGGATATCACAATTAACTAGATTAAGGGCCTGTACATTTAGAATTTTTCATAAAATTGAAAATGTAAATTTATGATTGTGAATATTTTTATTTTTGTAAAGTGTTCTACAACTATTATTTTCATGTTTTTCTATGATTAAAGGACAAATTTTAAGTGCACAAATCTGTTTATTAAAATAGAAGCAGTGGGCATGCTATATATGTCCTTAAGCTAAAACTGCTTGTGCTTGTTTCACAAAATTCTTTTGCTGGAAATTCACATACTGTATGCTCAAATGTAAACATATTTATTGTTCTGGCATATAAAGAACTGCAGCCAATTTTAATTATTACAACAGGAGTTCCTTCTGAGAAAACAAACTTAGGAGTGTGCTGTTATTTAACGTAACTCATCTTATGATGAATAAGGCTCTATTTTTATTTTTACAAAAAAATGAGTTTGGAATAAGAAATAAGTAACGGTAACAATAAGTTTATTTTAATGTCAGTATCTAAATAAAAAGTCTGTTTTATATTTCTTAAAATTCAAAGCAACATAATCTTTCATCAAAAATTTTATTCTCTTCCTGTGAGAAATGAAATGGCAGGAAAATAAGCCAATTAATAAGGCTAGAAATAGGTTTAGTTTACCTTACAAGCCAGCCTAAACAGAAGAATGCTGTTGAAGCTTTCTTGGCACTGGTGTTCTTCAATTACTTGATTCCAGTTGACATGTCAACTGGCTGTTTCTGATCACAGCTTGGTCATGTTTTTTTCTTACAGCAGCCATGCTTTCTTGCAATATTACACACATAAAAAGCTTCAAATGGCTAGACAGAAAACAAGTCATTTAACATTCAACAGAGCTGTCATTTCTACTATGTAAGTTTGTAGTACCTGACCTCCAGGAGAATAAAGCCAACTTCTAAATAGAATGCATTTGGTACATGCTTTGTGAGCTGACTCATTGAAATAACACTTGCTTTCACTTTTTCAGTTCATCCTCTGCTCCTAGGTTAGGTGAGAGGAGGGTTATTTTACTGGGAGTATATTAGCAGCTGTCAAGCAACCTTATATAATTTCCCCATCTATCCCCTCATCCAAATCATTGAAGCTGTTGAAGAGCACTGGGCCCAGAACAGCCCTGGGGCACCCCACTACACACTTCCATGTAGATACAGTTCCATTGAGGACCACATGCTGAGTATGGCTGGTCAGCCAGCTACGAATCCATCTGTCTAATCCACATTTTTCTATCTTATCTAGTAGTACTGTAGGTTGTAATCTATTTTATCAAATGCCTTACTGAAGTCCAAGTAAATTATATCCACAGCATTCCTCTGGTCCACTAATTTTGTCACCTGGTCAAAGAACCAGTAAGATTTGTCTGACATGATCTGTTTTTGACAAACCCATGTTGGCTTTTGGTAATGCCTTTGTTTGCGTCTAGGTGTTTGCTGATTCATTGTTTATCTTTTCCAGAATCTTCCCAAGTACTGAGGTCAGGCCAATAAGTCTGTAGTTTCCTGGATCTATTTTTCCCCCTTTTTTTGAAGATAGGAATTACATCAGCTCTTTTCCAGTCCTCTAGTAGTTCCCCAGTGCTCCAGGATCTTTGAAAGATATAGTTCAGTGGTTCTGAGATCACATCTGCCAGTTCCTTAAGAACCTTGGGATGATCCTGGTGATTTGAACTCGTCTAGGTAGACAGGTGCTCACTTACCATTTTCTTGCCTATCTTAACTTGTGTTTCTTTTTTTTACAGTATTGTTTTTTTATAGGTTAAACTTTTTTCCCTTTGTGTAAAGATATAGAGTCTGGCAGATACATTTTTCGTCTTCCTTCTCCCTCATCATTTGCTAATATATAGCAGAGTCATCAAGAAACACAACTTTATGTATCCATGCCACATAAGTGAGGCCACAGGATATTAGAGAGCTTATCACCAAAAAAAAAAAAAGTCTGGAGGAAGAAGAAGAAGCAGTAAAATTTATTCATATAAAGAAACTTTGTGAGTAGAAGATCTTGACGTTCTTGTTAGTCATGTAGTTGAAAAAATTAAATCACTGACACAAAACTACTGAACTTTGTGGGTTGGAGATTAGGATAATAGCTAGAAGGTGCTTATTGTTAAAAAAAAAAAAAAAAAGTCCAGGAAAGGCATCATGGAAACATCTCCTCACCTATGCTTTTGGTATCTTCCTTGGCATATTAATGACAGCTTATAAACTGTAATTGATTTAAGTTATTAGAGAACTCATTTTAAAAATCTAAGAATTTCCAAACTTAAGTTTGACATTCTATAATAGAAATGATTGTGATGTTATACATCAATATTTATAATATATATGAGAATTTTAAAGTGTCTGAGGAAGTAAAAAGTGCAGCTTTCCTCAAAGAATCCTCTTATAGTTTGCACTATGAATTCCAAGGATTATAAGAAAATGACAAATATCTGGCAATGCATGTTTTGTTCTTTTTGACAGCAGCCCTATTAGTTTATTCATAAGACATCAAACTCACTTTAGAGTTTTGTGTCAACAATGAACTGATCTCTGTTCTTTTGGCTTACTCTTAAATATTAAATTAGTATAACAAATAATAATACTAAAATATCACTGGAGCCAAACTAATTATTTTACTTGGATTTAAAGGTTATAACAAATGTTTTCTAAATTAAGTTATTGTAATTTTCTTTCAAAATAAATTTTCCAACAACTTCTGGTTTCAGTGTCAAGTCAGTATTTTTAATATTTTGCCTGGAGTAAATAATGGGTTCAAACCCAATAAATTCCAAGACTGATTTTGGAAAGATGGCCACTGAACTCTTCTGGTGACTTGTAAATCACCATCCACAGAATTGGGCTATTCTATAACTAGGACAATATTATACTTGTGCAGTCACATCATTCAAAGCAACCAATGGCTGTTTTACAAATCCTGCTGGTAAATCAAGACATTGCTTGATTTGAGGAAACGAGCTAATTCTGCAGTCAATTCCTTCCTTGAAGCCTCCTGCTTTTAAGGAAAGGCATTTTGGCACTTAACATAAAATTGTCACTTTGCAGTTACTCTCAAACAAGCAATATAGGAGTAAACTCAGTGTAAAATCCCTTTGTTATCAGGTAATCTAAGAGCTAAGTGTGTTTATAAGGTACCTTTAGTTGATACCAACTGTCAAAGCTTGGGAAAGGGACAGAGGATTAGTAATAACTATATAAAACCTAAAATGGAAAAGAGCAATGTCAACCCTCAATGAGGCAACTCTAGGATGCCTTTTAATACCGTCTTTGCACAGTTAACAGCAACAGGCACCCAATTATTCCAGGCGTTCATCACCTTCTTCCACATCTTTTAGGCTGAGAACTTCAAGGGTTCCTTTGCCTTTGGTTTCACACCTGATCAATTCATCAATCTCCCGGAAGCAGCCTGGATCCACAAGGCACACCTGCAACATTAGCACTACATGAGACTGGAAAGGCCACGTCTTATGAAGAACTGCCCTGGTGAATAAAACTAAGTGGTTGCTGGTTCTATCTGTAGTTACTAAACAACAACTACTTGCATATTATACAAATTTCTTTGTTTTGAATTTCTTGCTAATTAGTCTCAGGTCACTTCAAGGTTTTGCAATGTGAGAATTAGATTATTTCTCACTCTTTTCACCATTCCATGGCTAATTTCATAAAGCTGTTGTGCCCCCCACAAAAAAGTGTTATAATCCCTTGGGTATTTTGATTTGCCCCTTTTAGAAATTTTACCAGCTTCAGGGTATTTTTTAAATGGAATGGAGAAAGAACACTAAATTGGACTGGAATGTCTATATATTACACTTCTATCCAATTATGTTAAAAAACCAAAGACTGCAATTCACTGAAAATTGCCACATTCTCTTGAATTAGAAGAAAAAAGAAGTGCTGATGTGTCACAATGGAATCTTTGCAGCATCCCTATCTTTTGCTCATTTACCATACTGCCTTACTGCTGCATGCTTATCCCAATGAATTTTGAAACATCTTCTGCAAGAACCAATGAGGTTTCCTTCACAAGCAATCATGCAAAGGACTGCAGTGTAAATATCAGTCCTTATATCTATACTCCAACACTTCTACAAAACCAAAGGCACAGTACTAAGCTTTTTCCTAAACAAAAGACTGGGGAAAGGACACTCTGCTGCTTACAATTTCCAGCTGCTCATCAAAATCCTCATTTTCGATTACTTTGATCAGTGGTTTCAACTTCTCTTTCAATCTCTTGCCTTCTTTCCGAGGGAGGAGGAAGCGTAACCTCATGTGTGCCCGCTCAATCTGCATCGTCTCTTTCAGCTGCTTGATGACTTCCAAAGCCTGCAGAGGAATCGAAACCAAAGCACTGATTTTTACATCTTTATCCCGCTCCCCTTGAAAAAAAAAACCCTGGAAAAACTTAAGTCTCTTCGCTTCTGATTCCATACTTTTAGCCATATATGAGATTTGTTCCGCTGAGCATATTTTTATACCCAAGACTAAACAGCAGGGCAATCTTCCATCCAGTCAAATAGAGCTGGTGGGAAGAACCTCTTGTGTTTCCTGCAGAACTGCATTGCAAGCATGAGAAGTGGAGCAGTGCAAACTCATTAATTTTTAATAGATTAATACAGCAAGAATTGCTATAATTCATTCTACCTGGAGCTGCTCTTGAAGATCATTCAGAAACTTCTGGTGGTCCAAAATGTTGTAGCTTGCTTACTTACTTAGCAGTTGTGGTGCAGCCACGTTACACTGTTGCTACTGGAGTTGTACTGGTTACCAGTTTGTTTCCAAGTGCAATTCAAAGTGCTGGACATTCTCTATAAAGCTCTATATGGTCTGCAGCCTACATCTGCTTTTCTTAGATTCTGCCTAGGGAAAGCAAATGACCAGGGAATACCTGCTGATGATCTCCTCCAATTGTGAGATGGGGAGCATTCTTCTTTTGCACCAACCTGACTTGTGAGGCAAGAGTGGACTCTATTCTTATGTCCTTCTAAAAGCTAGGAAGAGCTTGTCTTTTAAAAAAAGAAATATGGATAACAAATTGTTGGTGGAATCATTGATGCCAGAATATTATGGTATTTTATATTACTTTGTCATGTTTTAGAATAGTTTTAAATAATGCCTCCAAATATGAGCCCACTTGGCTTTAATCACTATCATGAGACAAGCGAAACATGTTGGAAACAGATAATCATCTTTCTTGCAATGATTTCAACTTTATGAAATTCCCTTCCCACTGACACCCAAAGAGGCCTAACCTACTATCTTGACAGCCGTATCTGACAAAGGATAGCAATACAGTTTTGATTTTCAGATGTTGCAGGACTATTACTGTTTTCTGTGCAGTTTCTCCACTGTACCTAAGTGATTTTACTTTTTTGTAAATAAAGACTTAGTTTGTATGATGGAAATGTTAATATTTTCCAGAATAACAGTATCTTCCGGATTTAAAAATGCCAAGTTTGAAAATATCCAGCCATACAATGATTGGCACAGTACTGCATTAAAAAGAGACACTGCGAGAAATTCTACAAGATCCAATGTACAACTAATGTTACCAATCTACAGGTTTAACTATCCTTCAGGTATCTGCAGAAGAAAAAAAGAAGCAACTTTAAAAAAAATCATCTTGCCTGTTTACTTGGTGACAAGTCAACTCAAACCAGATGTTCAGGTTACTTCAAATTAGTACACTTAGCCCTCAATGTATGATTGCAATTGGGACTGGATTTCTGGGCATTAAGTCATCTTGGTCCTAAATCATGTACCCATCTAGCCTGTTATCAAGTGCCTGAAATGTAATTGCATGATCATATATGCGTATGGGGGGCACATTTTACGATGGCCAGAAGTACTTTAAGGCTGTAAAACACCCATTCCAAGCCTGTCCTAATTTTGAATTGTCATTGTTTGAACTGTCATTAAGTGACCAATCAAAAGTTGAGGACTGCCTGTAAAGATAAAAGCTACAGTGTCTTTACATGCCTATAATTTGTAGGCATCTACCTGCTGCTTGGTACTTTTCCCAGGCTTGACTGAATAATGTATATCCTTCATAGCTCTTTCAATAAGGATGACTGTGTAGGGTCTCTTGGTTTCTGGATTTACACATTTGTCTGCAACAATGGTTGCTATGTCACGAAACATCTGCTCCAATTGAGTGTGGCGTTCTTTATCAGAGACTTGCAATTCCCCTTTGGATAAGATCTGAAACAAAGAAAAGTTTATTTGGACTTGGGGTTTCTCAAATTCAGAAGGTGTATCATGCACTGTCATCAGAACTCTGATTCAGCTTTCAAGACTGTTTATGAACCTTAGAAGAATCGCTGTCCTAAAAAATATCTGCAAATTACAAAGTAGAAATAATGACTTCCTCATATCGAGTCTGACCCTTGGTTATTACATGGAGGTGTCTGTATAGTTTTGGGGGCAGTAATACAGAAGACCTTGGGCCAGTCATTTTCTTTCAGCCCTAGGAAGGAGACAATGACAACCTGCAAGGACCTGTCCAGGCTTTTCATTCTTTCAGGATTTTGTCTCCCCAGTCTACTCTACCCAATCAGAAAGTTCCTGATACTCTCCCATCCAAGTACTAAGCATTTACTCTGTTAACTTTTGGCAGTGATCTAAGGCTAAGTAAGCATTAGCTATTAACAATAAATATAAAATGAGCATTAATTGTTAACCATAAGAGCTGCTTTCCAGATGGGTGGCAAACAATTTAATTAATATCAACAAGGCTATGGAAGACTGAATTTTAAAATCAGAGCATAAACTGCATATTATTTCAACCTTCTCACAGAACAAGTAATATGTGATGAAGCCATGGAAAAAAAATTTTTTTTGCTCAAGTTCAAATTTCTGAAATATTTAAAAGAGAGTCAGTGTAGTATAGCATTGGATTAGGACTGAAGAGCCAGATGAAGTCCATTCTCAGCTATGAAAACTCCCAGGATGATTTTGGGTCAGATCTTATTATACTTCAGCCCAAATGACCTTAAATAGCTCAGTGGTCTCAAGTACCCTAAACACTGACCCCAAGCTGACCTAAACACATAAAGGGATTATCCTTCTACTATCTGATATATTGTTTGAATTGCCTTAAAATGTTAAAAGAGAGATAAAATGAGACAAAAAACATTATTTTTTTTTGCATAATTTCAGTACCTACCGTTTTGCAAATTTCCGTCTGATCATCTGTGCCAAAAGCTTTGACGAGATCTTCCTTCTTTGCCACTTGACCTTTGGAGACATTCACAAACACTGTATGTGTCTGCAATACTTCATCAAGGTCCTTTTCACTAGAAAATTAATTTTACCTGTTAAGCACATTCTAAATAATGCATGCCAACAATCAAAGTATTTTGATAGTCTTGTTTAACCCATGTTTAACCAATCAACTACTTTTGATTCTATTACTATGGCAGGGCAATCAGATTAAACTGCTACATTCCATAAGCAGAATACTGTAGTGAATAATTGCATAGTTCTATCTGAACTGGCAATGACATATTGTCAAGCAACAAGCTTGTAATTTGGTTAAAAATATATAAATAATTAGGAAACACCTTAATCAGCTAAAACATAAAGCAATACTAGTCCAAAGGCAAAGTCCTATCTGCTATTTATCAGTAAACAGGTAGCTATCTAATAATATTGATTCAATAATTACTCAGTGGGGTTGTGCTCCCATTGAAAGAGATTGTAACTTGCAGCTCCTGTTCAACCAGCACGTAGAAGTTATGGCTTGAGTGGCTTTACCCAAATTTGGTTAGTGCTGCAGCTTCAACACTACTTAAACCAAAATGCCTGAAGACATGTCCTGATCATTGGGCTACATGGAACTGCCCTTGGGAATGAATTCAAAGCTGCAAATTGTGAGACTACTTTGTCAGTATACTATAAGATCACCCTCATCCTCACCCAAGCTACAGATTGCATCACTGTACTGGTTGCTAGTTGCCATTCTAACCACTGCATTCTAACCACTGAGTTGTGGTGGTGCAATGGTTAGAATGAAATATTGCAGGCTAACTCTGCTGACTGCCAGCAGTTTGATCCAGACTAGCTCAAGGTTGACTCAGGCTTCCATCCTTCCAGGTTGGTAAAATGAGGACCTAAACTGTTGGGGGCAATATGCTGACTCTGTAAACTGTTTAGAGAGGGCTGTAAAGCACTGTGAAGTGGTATATAAGTCTAAGTGCTATTGCTATTGTTATTCCAGATCTAATTCAAAATGTTGGTTATTTCCAGGCAATGACTTTTCATGGGCAGCTATATAAATTGAATACTTACCTCAGTGATGTTATTCTATACTACACCCTTCTGACTTATTTGATTATTCTTTATCATACTACTCTGTATTTGTTATTTCAGAATTGTGGTTAATAGACAATACTTAAGTAAACATGAATACAGAAGTGTAAATACTGTAGGTGATTTATAACAGCAGTTGAACCACACAGTTCAGAGTTTAAGCCCTGCAATTTGCACATGCTTTAAAAGTAAATGAATTTTAAGCCAGAATTGCAAAAATTGAAAAATTCAACCCTGGATTTATTGATTGATTATTTATTTAGGCTAGTCTTGCACTCTGCGTAAACTCAGAAACACTGGCTTTGTCAAATGTCAGGAGTTTTCTGTTCCTCTCCCTGCGGCCCAAGCCCTCAACTCACGCGCCGCTCCGCCAGCCCATGACTTTGTTCCGGTAACAGGCAATCTCAAAACGCTTCCCCGCCCGTCGAATCCGCACGACAGCCACATTGGTCAGGCGAATCTGGTTAGTCGGCGTAAAGATCGCCATGATACGCCAGTATCGACCTCCGCTAGACAGAACACAAGCCAACAGCTGAGCCTCTTCCGTCCCTCCGTTGTGACGACACACGGGTCAAAACCTCGCGAGAACCGGCTCTCCAAAAGTCCGTCTTTAACTCACTCGGATGGGAAACCAATCCCGAAGACTAATGGTTCCTCGTTTAAAAGTGACCTCTTGCGAGTGAGAAGGCTTAATTAAGAGGGACCCCATCAAAAACAAAAACAAAAACCGAGGTTTAAAGATCTGACTCCTTTTTTGCGGAGGTTTGATCAAAAATGCAAGTAGCACTTTAAAAAAAAAATAGCCAGTAGGTATCTTAGGAAGGACTGTCTTCAAATCCTTGAACAGATGATCTTGGACTTGTCACTGTGCAGGTTCATATAATCGTATTTAAACATCGTTTGTTTAAATTGTGCAGGATCCAGTCTTGCATCTGTCACCGGGAATAGAGGTTTAGTCTTCCTGCCAGAGGCACAAAGTCTAGAAAAAAAGAAATTCCCTGAGGATGAACTCCAGCTCGGAAGACTAAACCTCTGGTCCCGGTGACCGACCCAGATTGGCTCCTGCAACATTATCCTGGGACACGTATATTCGCCTTCATTCGAGTTTAAATTGTTTTAATATACTAACCGGTTGTGGTTTATTCATACCACACAGACCGAGAAGGCTCTTTAATCACTACAGTGGATGGTTGATTGGCATAACGAACCAACCATGCCTTTAAAACAAACCATGGCTCAATGTCTCCCCCTATTCCAACACGAAGCATTTAGGATCCGCATTATTTAAATGCATGGATTTTCGATTCTCCTTTCAACCTCTCTGATACACTCGATTCTGGAAGATGCTTCTCTATTTCTTGATTAAAAGCATGCACACTTTGGAAGGAGAGCGTTTTGTAGCGATCGCTAGTGCTGGAGGGCGAACTTTATCTTCAGCCACTGAGAGGTTAATGTCCTCTTCCCAGCATGCCAGGGGTGGAAGGTGCAAAATGGCTGCGCCTGTGAGCTCGTGGGGCAAGTAATGGGGCTGCTTGGGAATGACCCCCTGCGGTCCCGAAAAACCCAGAAAAACATCGTCTGGTAGGATCGGGAATTGCGGCTTGGGAGGGAAGACATGGGTAAGTACTTGGAGGCGAAAAACCTTACTTCTTGGGAAGGAAGCCTTATTGGCTTAGATGCGGTTTAGTCTCCAGAAAGCATGCCAAGGTTTTTGACAAGCGACGGATTCTTAAACCTTTAGCATATTTATTTATTAACATGGAAGTCCTGTAGCCCGCCAAAGAATCAGGATCTAAAAAGTCACGAGTTTGTATCATTCCATAGAATACGAATACAGTTTTCTTGGAAGCTTCCTGTGCAAATAAATAGGACGATTTTATAAGGTTTACTTAAACATTACGTGAAATTTAAGAAAAAGTACATGGTGACACTTTTGCACAATTGTACACTCGTGATTGTATAGAACTTATATTCTCCATCTCTAATTTTATTGGCTCTAACTTGCTTAGGAAATAATAAGTTTGTAAAAAGTATATTTTTCTTACTCCTGTAATGGCTCTGGATGGCTTACAGAAGTACAATAAAAATAGCAGCCCAGGCATAACTAATAATACAAAGCACAAGAAAACAAAACTTTATGCTCAAACATTAGTACATTAAGGCAGAGCTTGCTTGAACTCTAGTGGCATTTTATTCCACATTATTTATGTATTCAATTTATATGGCTGCCTATATTAAATATATAAAAATATTATAACAAACCAATCAGCACAGTATGGATCCTATCCCCCCAAAAGCTGAATTCTGTTGATATTAAATATCTAGCAGGGCCCACAATGGATACACTGATAATTACTTAGGAAACAAAAATGAAAAACTCAAGAGGCAGTATGATTTAAGCCCTGATCTTTTGTATGTGCATTTGACATCAGTATACATATAAATAGTGGGGTTTTGACAAGCTGTAACCATCTTGCTTCTTTTGATCCCACTGAGGATATGACTTACAGAGGATAGATGGTGGGGAAAAAATCTGGGTAGAGTAAATGATTGCAAATGGAATATGAGCAAGCAACATGAGGTTGCTGACAGGAAGGCATATGCAATTTTAGGACTGCATCAACAGAAATTGAATTTCCAAATCATAGTAAATAATTGTTCCACTCTTTTCTGCTTTGGTCAGTTCTCTGCTCTAAATACTGTAAAAGGCTCTGGATATCACATGTTGAGAAGGATTCAGAGAATTTTGAGCAGATTCAGAGAAAGTCAAGAAAGATAATTAGGAGACTAGAAATTAAGTCCTGTAAAGAAACTGAAGGAATGACAATTGATGTTTCAGTACCATGTATCTGAGATACTTTAATTTGGCTTCTGAGTTGAGCATGTAGTTGGATTTAATATCTTTAATGGTCCCTGGCAAACAGTATAGTTCTAAGATTATACAATGATTCTGCCACCTTTAATTTGGTCCAAAGCATGCTTACCAAAGAGCAGACCTCAATTTATCCTGATATCTGGCTTTTAATAATAGTAGCATTTTGTTCTGTTGTGTTTTAGATACTCCTGCAGACACCTGGGACAATTTCCATGCTCATTTAACTTTCCTGTGGCTGAACCGATTTTACCTCTATTCATGTGCAGCTTTTGGAATCAGCCTTTGGTTTTGCTTCCAGTTCCTCAACAAAGTCAAAGAGCAGGTAATTTTAATCTCACTGTGTCTAATATTTTCAACTCTGGGAACTTCAACCTTGATGGAAAGATGATGGAATCTCTAGTGGTGGCTTCCTGAGTGCTCGAGCAGTTGAGAGATTAAGAAACATTCAGTAGCAAAAAATATACCCCTCGCCATCTCAAAGGAGGTAAATTCTTTCCACCAAAACCATAGTACTATCTTCTGCAAGTTTATTCAGAAATTAAACTGTTTGAGGCAAACTACACAAGTATAGTTATAGTTCGTTTTTTCTCCAGGGAATGAAATCTATTTATAGTATATATGTTGTCCTCTCAGTATTAGTGGATGATATTTCCTGCCCGATTACTTAATTTCTCTTGTTCAGATAAAGGATGTAGTCCTCTATAAGAGAAAACTTTCTTAGACAAAACTGTCTTTCTCTCTAAGTTGTACATCATCTGCATTGAGGGGTAAAGTGACTAATGGCATCAGGAAACAAAGAGACTAAGTTTATTTCTGGGAATCTGTTGTTTAAATATTTCCTTTGTAGAACAAAAATCGCCTTGCAGAATTAAATCTTCCTAAAATCACAGCTGCTGAAAAAGAACAAGATCCAAGCCTTGACAAAGTCCATGTAGCCGGAGTGAAGGTATTCTATGGTTCCCAGACTGGAACAGCAAAGGTAAACAGTTCATTAATTCAGCAAGAGGTGAATTAATTTGTCTTGCAGCCATGTCTTTTTTTTCTTCTTTAGTTGAATAGAGGTAGTTGACCATTTTCAGGAGAAAAAAAGCACACTCATAGGTGTTTTTTGGTTTATTCTTATCTTCAGAGCTTGGCCATTTGTTGCTGGTCATACTGAATTTTATCTAATTGAGCCTTGAAAATCTGTTACTTATAAAGAAATAATTTTAATATGAGATTATTTGGGGGTGTAATAAAGTGGTGGTGATAGTGGAGAAAAGACATAAGAAAGGGAATTTAGGTGCTGTCCAATCTTTCCTTAAGTGGTGAGTAGTTATACTCAGCAACTGGATCAAAATTAGAGGCTTCTTGGCTGCTATGTTCATAATTCTTGCCAGGAAGTTGCAAGGGTCATATAGCCAGTTTATGTAGCATTTCAGGTATTAGATTTGTAGAACAGAGATTACGTTTCAAATCCTCATTCAGTACTAGTGCTGTCCAGATAATTTTCAGCCAAAACCTCTTTTTCAATCCAAGCTCACTGGGATTGTGATTGAGGAATAAGATAAAGTGCCCTTTTGGGCATTTGTAGCAGTTGTGCTGTATCAGAGAACAGTATCCTGAACTATTCAGCAAACCAGCATGGTGGTGCGCAGAGTTTTCAAGGTCCTATTAGATAGCCACATTTCTGCCTCTTTATAGCAAGAGTAAGAGGACAAAGGCTGCAGTATAAGATTAATAAGCAAAGTGTGTGTGTCTGATCATAGAGCAATGGAATTTGAAGGCTGTGGGTTGTGGAGAGATTGGTGTTTTGTTTTCATTGTGATAACTATTTTTAGAGGGTACACTATAGTCTTAGAATTTTTCCACTTGAAAGACATTATTGTTGATTTTTAATTAGAAGGAATTGCCCCCAAAGATATGAGAGGTTGCATATAGCAGGTTGCCCATCTCTACTTTTATGAGTTCCCACTCCAAGTCCTTCTGAGTCCAGTTCAGAGTGGAGATTTTTCCTTCTGGTCTAGATACATTAATTTTTATGTACGAGCATTTTCCAATCACAAGAGTTGCTGGAGTCCATCCATTTCAGTGCTTTCCACTGTCAAATACTGGAAGTAATGTCTAAGGTTTTTGTCTTCTTGGGTTTTTCCTGATGCCTGCAGTTCCTAAATAGTGGTGGGGATTATGTGTGTGAGCTAGCTGCTGTTTCAGTGCTAAACCCTAGCATCTCCCTGCCTTGCACTCAAGAATTGCAAGAGATAAAGCTGAAGCAATTTTCTCCTTCATAGATCAAAGAATCACCTAGTGTGGCTTTCTTATATGAAACAGATCTTCACTGGGTTTTTTCTTTCTTTCTCTCTAGCGGTTTGCACTAGTACTTACTGAAGCTGTTGCCACCATTAATTTGCCAGTAGAAATTATTGACATGCAAGATTATGATCCAGATGACTCTCTCATAGATGAGGTTTGTATTTCATCTCTTCTAGCCGGAATGCCATCTGTGGGTTCTCATGGATTCATGGCACCTGCTTTAAGAGCAAGTAAAAACTATGGCCAGGAGAGCTGTGGGTGGTGCTTCAGCTGAGGCCTTGCTTGGAACTGGATGAACTGAGGAATGGGTGTTTAAGCCTTTATCATCTCTTTTTTTTGTTTGTTTTCAAGTCCATTTTGACTCCTGGCAATTGCCTGGACAAGTCCATGTAGTTTTCTTTGCAAAATTTTCAGAAATGATTTCCATTGCTTTCTTCTTAGGAAAATGACCAGCCCAAAGTCATCCTGCTGAGTTTGTGCCTAAGGTAGAATTAGAACTCTGAATCTCTTAGTTTTTAACCCAGTGCCTTTAACCAAACTGAGCTTCTCTGTTAGATTACCATACTCTATGTGAGGCTGCACCAAAATTTCATGTGATCCAGAAGGCATCAGCATACACACTCAGTTAGATTATTGATATACCTCTGCTGCAGGAGCTGTACCGTTACCAGTGGATTCCAAGTGCATTTTAAGGTGCTAGTCACTAAAGCTATATATGGCTCTGAGCTTGGGAACTGTTTTTCCATATTAGTTTCTGTCCATACTACCTGGACATAAGGGGAAGCCTGCTAAGAATCCCCATCTCCCAAGAAATACAGTGGTGGGCAATAGTGACATTTTTTCTATAGCAGTACCCTACCTTTGATATAATATGGCCTTGAAACAACAATTACCTTACAGTCTTCCAGGTGCAGGAGAAAAAATAGCTCTTTTAGAGCAGGAGTTCACAACCCCTGGGCTGCAGCCTGTTCAAAACTGGGTCATGGGGAAAATGGGCAAGTGCATACATGTGAAGCTCCATTTGCGTGAGTGGAGGGCACTCGCGCTCACACATGAAGCTCCGCTCGAGTGAGCGGAGGGCACTTGTGCTTATGTGAGTGGAGCTTTGCGCAAGAGCACAGTACCCTCTATTCAAGTGCCTTCGGCTCACGAGCAGAGCTTTGCACATGAGTGCAAGCACCCTCTGCTCATGCACAAAACTCAATTCTCACGAGTGGAAGGTGCGCACATGCTGCTTGCACAAATGGAGCTGTGCGTGTGCGTGCACTGCCACTTACACCACTCCTCCTCACCGGGCCTGGCCAGGCCGCCAAGCTGGAAAGATTGGGGACCGCTGTTCTGAAGGACCTTTTTGATTAACTGTATATAATAGTGTCATTTTCCATAGTTCTATAAATGTAGCCTTTTATCTGTAGTTGCCTTTTAAATTTTATTCTAAACTTGTATTTACTATGTAAATTCTGTAAATTGCCTAAACTATGGTTGATTTCAGATGGCAAATAAATTAGACAGACAGACAGAATCAATATCCTAATGGTTAACAACAATAACAAAATAACATTTTAATTGTTTGATTATGTTCTCAAGTGAGTATCAACTCATAGTGACCTGATAGACAGGCCTTGTCATGCCTCCGTCAGAGCCTGACTCTGAGGAAGACATGGAGTTCCCTGTTGAGGCCCAGGAGGGGGTATCTGTGGCTTCGGAGGACTGTGGGGAGGAACAGGCTGAAGCAGGCCAGGGCCCTTCAAGTTTGGAACAGGGAAGGCAGAGCTCAGGCGAGGAGCAAGGCCCCCCCCCACCAGATCCCAGAGCAAGGAGAGCAGAGAGAAGGAGGCAGGCTCACTTGCTCGGGAGGAGAGCGTCACACTCCACTCCACAGGGCATACCTGGGGAGTAGGTATTTAAGGAGACGCTGTGGGATGGGGCATTTGCCGGGAACAAATGTGAACTCTTGTGATTTGAGCTCTTGTACCTGGACTCTTTGTATTTTGGATCAAGTTTGTTTCCTGCTGAGTTCTCCTTGCTGTCCTCAGTTTTGCAGTTTGCAGGTTACAGGCAAGCTGGGTGTGGAAAAGATCATACTTTGTTATCTGTTTTACTTTAAAGAATTGTTTAACTCCATTGACTGTTTTATTGAACTTGTGCCAGCATATGTGGGGGCTGTTGGGTGAACATTGGCAGTGCTTACAAAGACAATTATTCTGACCAGCTAAGTGCTTCGCCTCCGTTCGGGGCCCTGGGTCATCACAGACCTTCTTCAGAATGGTCTTTCCCACATCAAATAGAATAATATCCCTGTTATGTCCCGAGCCTTTGCAAACGGCTCGGGCGTTTGCAGGCAGTCCCGGGCAGGTGCAAAGCTGCCCAGGACCAGACAGGCTGTCGCCAGCGCCGTGCGCATGCACGGGTGCTGGCGCGGGAAAAGTAACCCCATTACCGGGAGTTGCTACATAAGAGGCTGCGAGTAGGTTTGGGCGAGGCTGTGAAGCCATCTTTCAGTAAGCGAACGATGAATAATGAAAACTTGAGAACTCCAGCTGCTTCTCGTGGTCTGTCTTTCCTCGCCACGGTGGACTCAACACTGGCGGCAAGGATGTGGGATGCCTTGCACTACCTGGAAAGGAAGAAGGAAGCTTACCCAGGAGTCCTGACGCGCAAGAGGAACGGCGTTCGACTCGGCAGCTGCCCGCCATTCCGGTGCGCATTCGGGGGTAGCTGGCTGATAGACCCGTCTCCTGAAGATCCGAAGATGGCGAAAATCGGAAGGCTTTCAGAATTCGACGTCTCACATCCATAGCGGTGGGAGTCCTACGTATCCAGAATGGAGAACTACTTCAAGGCAAACCAAGTGAGGGAAGATAGCTTGAAGGCGGCCACCCTGCTTTGCGTTTGCGGCCAAGACGCCTTCGAAATCGCAAAAAACCTTGCAGCACCTGTCCCAGTAGAGTCTGTAAGCTACGCAGACCTGAAGAAGCTGACTGAAGGAGCACTTCAACCCAGGGTGTCCGTATCCAATGGCGCAACCACCTTTCGAAACAAGAGATCAACTGTCCGGTGAGTTCAGCCAAGGAACATCGCCGCGTTACGGAAGGGCCAAGCCCTGCGAGTTCAAGGACCTCGAGGAACACGATGAGGGGACCGATTCGTGTGCGGTTAAGGCCATCGCGAGCTCCACAACAGAGACTTTTCGCAAAGAAGAATTATCCTTCCAAACGCCTTAAGGGAAAAGTCACCGCAGAAGAAGCAGCAGGCGCGCGTCTCAAAAACATGCGGCCGATCAGAAACAGTGCAGAGGGTGCGTCCGTGCACCAGGAAGACGTCCGACGAAACTCCGAGGAGGATCCGGATGAGGAAGTCGACCGTCTACACCCCGCGAGGGAAGAAAACCAGAAGGGAAGCTCTCCGGCTCCGCTCAAGTGCATCAGCTGTGGAGGTCGCCACAGGAGAACCGACTGCAAGTTCCGCTCCGCTACCTGCCGGGCATGCGGTAAACAAGGGCATATTGCAGCTGTGTGCCTGGGCCGACGAAAGGCACAACCCCAAGAAGAACGCCTGAAGGGTACCAGATTCCCCAGCAAGGAATAGGGTCAGGTTTTTGCGCTTCGCGAGAAGCATCTGTAGAACAGTGCACACACAAGACATGAAGAAAAAGCTGTCACTCAAACGTGAAGCTACAAGGGGTACATATCTATGGAACTAGACACAGGTCTAGCCTGTCCATCATTCATTGCATACATTTAGGAAGTTGCTTCCAGAAGTGGGGTTATAAGGCCAAGTTAAGGCCTTCTGCTTATTGTATTAACAGATTTTCAGAACCAAGAGTGTGTTGTTAAGGGGGAGGCCACTAACGTGCAATACAAGAGCTTTGAAGGTCCACTAGACTTATTAGTAGTAGGGGTGAACGAACGAGTCTCATAGGACTCGATTGGTTTGAGGCCCTGGGGATACACGTCACAGGACTCAACAGCTTACAAACACTCGACCTACAGGAAGTCTGCAAAGAATTTGAAGATGTTTTCAGCCCCCAGCTGGGCACATTCAAAGGACCACCTGTGTCCTTAAAGCTAGACCCCACTGTCACTCCCATTAGGATTAAAGCAAGAAGGGTCCCTTTGCTTTAAAAAGTAAGAATTGCCTCTGCCAGTATAGAAGCTGACCCGCGCCAGCTGTTCAACATTCTACAATCCAAGCCTGCCCGAGATCTCTTAGTGCCAGGGATGTTACCGCTGAAACAGGTACAGATCACACACTTTCACGTGTCCGCTCCGGTCCTGTCCGTGGGGGCCCTGAGCACTCCTAGTCCTGAGTTTCAGAGTTTCTGGTCCAAAAGAAACGAACTGCCCTTTCTCAGGTTGTCTGCTCTAACGTCTTATGTGCCCCTTGTTGGAAAAAAAAACAAAAAACAAAACAGAAAACAGAGTGTCATTCCAACCTCAATGAGGACTAGGGTTTAGAATCCCTCCACGAGGGTCATCCTGGCATTGTTCGTATGAAGGCTCTTGCACGCAGCCACTTGTGGTGGCCTGCTTTAGATAAAGATATTGAGGCTAAGGTACACGCATGCCACCTGTGCCAACGATCTCGCCCAGAGATGTCCCAAGCTCCTGTGCATAGATGGGAGGAAACACAGTCCCCATGGTCTAGGGTGCACATTGACTACGCTGGGACCTTTCAGGGCCAGTTCTTCTTGGTCCTTGTTGACAGCCATTCAAAATGGCTTGAGGTTGTGCCTGTCTCATCCACCACCACTGCAAAGACTATTCAGGTACTGAGGGGGATTTTTGCTGCACACGGGCTGCCAGATGTCATTGGGTCCGACAACGGCCCTCAATTCACTTCCTCCGAATTCCAAGCTTTCTTACAGGCAAACATGATTCGTCATGCCACGTCTGCACCCTTCCACCCGTCCACCAACGGTATGGCTGAACGTATGGTGCGCATCACAAAGGACACCTTGAAAAGACTCACCTACGGGGATGGCATCACAGGTTGCTGACTTTCTCTTTATTATCGCCACCACACGTCCACTTAAGGGAGAAGCAAGCGAACTCGTTGGGGGCGCCAACTTACTACTAGACTGACCCGGTTGCATCCGGACAGACTGCATCATCTACCTCACATCCTAGGGCACCTAGACAACTCCTTGTGGGTGCCCCGGTTTGGGCTCGCAATTACAGGCCTGGTCATACATGGGTCCCCGCTTCTGTGTCCAGGATCACAGGTCCTCTCTCCTACGAGGTTGCCCTGGACAACGGTCGTGTCCTGCGTCGGCACAGCGACCAACTTCGCTCTAGGCGAGACTTTTCTGCTGAGACTCCTGGGTCTTTTCCAGGGGGGGAGGGGGACCCTTTGGAGCAACGGGAAGGGCAAGAGCTACTGCCCACCTCCACTGAGGGAGCCACAAACGGCTCGTCCCAAGGTTCTGCAATTGCTCCGAAAAGAAAGTCATGGAGCTTACCCACACAACAGGCACTCACTCCTACTCCAGCCAGGGAGTCACCCCGGGGGCATACTCACTTTCCACACACATCACACAGCACTCCAGCAACGGAGGATACCCGGGGGCATCCCAACAAATCATTCCCCGCAAGAGAACTGGAACACAATTCCCAAGGTTGGCCTGACCTTACCCCAAATCCTACAGGGGGTCAAACATACACAGAGTTAGTCGAGGAACCAAGTCCCGACTACAACAACCCTAGCACAAATCAGGGAACACCTGAGTTTGGGGAAAGTACAGAAACCCACACGAGCCCGAACACAGAATGGGGTTCAGGGACTGGACAGCCTCCTGACAGGTCTTGGACTGACCTAGGAGGTTCTACAGAGACGCCCAGCAGCGGCTATCACTTCAAGGGGCCTGAGGGTCTACAGC